TGTTAAGCCCGCTAGCAATGAGTCAACACGCGATTAAAAATCTAAACACTGGCCAAGGGCAGGAGACCCGGTATTTACCTTCAATGAAAGTCCATGGGACAAATGTCAGTGAGCAATAAATGGTTATTCCCTGAAGATGTTCTCTACTATTTTTTTTTTCGAATGGCCCGAATTGTTTGACGCGGAATTCATTGGCATCGTTACTAAGGCGGATGAAATCCTAAATTGTATAGTGGAGCCATTATTCGCCAAAAATAATGAACAAAAAAGTTGGGCCAGTTTTTTTTATCACTACTTCAATAAATCCACACGTCGAATATCTTGAAAATAGAATGGTTCTACCACCACAGCTCAGGGATGATGTGTATCATGATGCGTCTGCATAAAGGACCCACAAGAACGTTCAAGATGCGCAACGTGTCAAAAGCGCCACGTGTGAAACTACTTCTGGTGGCCACATTCGAACCGCCCAAGTCAAATAACAGCTGCAAACTGCAAGGAATGAGTCAAATCAGGTAAAAATTGAAATCAGTAATTTCAGTGTGGGTTGTTACCGTATTGGATAAGTTGGATGAACTAAATCAAGATTTACAATTGGATTTTCCAGGACCATTGCTGCCGGTATGGGGCATAAATTAGTATTTTTCAGTCTGAGTCGACAGATTTTTAAAGTTTCCGTCGACACAATTTTCATTTAGAACAACAGTTACTGGGATTGAAGAATTTCTTGAAAATTGTTCTGCCCAACATGCGATTCCAAGGGCAATCCGCACAGACCAAGGGTCAGGGTTTGTTGCAAAACCGACTTTTGCACAAGAAATTATTTTCAGGTAATCTTCGTATTGTTGGTAAACCATCGAGCGACCGGGCTAGTGGAAGGGTGTATACGTAAAATGCGGAGATTTCTCATGGCGTACTTTTTCCGAAAACCTTGACACGAACTGAACACAGCTCTAAATGAAATTTTTTTTCATGATAAGAACAAGCAAACACCAATCGATGAGAGGATCAGCGTTTGAAGCACCTGATTGTCGTCGTCAATCGAAAACTATTTGGCAATCGATTGCAAAAAGTCCCTCCTCAGGTAATTTATCTTGGGAAAACGTGTTATATTACTTAGATCGTAGCAAGAAGATATTTCCCGCGCGGGTCATGCAGGATTACACCAGCCCGGACGCCAAGGCAATGATGGGCGTTCACGAAAAGATCGAACACCTATTGGCGGGAACTCTAAAAGCTCACAAAGGAGAGACAAGCCGGGATATAAATTGAGCGCCGTTTCTAACCACACAACAAAAAAGTTTATCATAAATTTCAGAAAAAAAATTTGCAACCATGTTTTGATTTTTTAAACAATAAAGTGGTACGCTAATCTTATTATACAGTTATGTTGGACTCGGGAAAAATAGTACATAAGTCTGATATTCAATAAGTTTAGATGACACAGAACCAGAATCGGTAGTGGTAAACCGACAATCAGGAACAAACTGGACCCGCGCAAAAAGGCAGCCCTGCAAATGAATTTGGAGAACCCAACAGTTACATCACCACACAGGCCGTTGGTTGATGTAACAAGCTCAGCCAATAATCCGATCTTCACAAACAGCTCATCGGGTGGGCCGACGCCTCTAGACAGTCCGATGATAAATTGCGATGCGATCCAGATATTGCAAGACAAGTCAGAAGCTTCGACACCGGCGGAAAGAACACTGAGGGACAAGGACAAGAGTGTCCGAAAACCGCAAACTAGACAATTGTCTTCTATTCGAGCTCGGATGAAAATAGCGCGATGAGAATGAATTCTGGACAGTGGGGGAAACAATCTACGCCGATCGTGTTATCGTCGGCAGATGAGGTGGAGGTAACACCTAAATCCTAACTCGTGGCTCTTAAGTTATGGACGTTCAAGAGGGGAATTGGTTGCATAAATAGGAAGGCGAAATGACAACGACTCCTGAATTGATCAAAACGGAAGCAGTGGCATCAGGCAATCCGCCGGTTTTTTTTGAACGAGATCCAGGAGACCAGCAGCCTTCTAGCCGAAACTTTCAAGCCCATCTCACGACATAATACAATACCCCTTAGGGAACGAAGACTACAGAAGTATCTAGGTGAACAACTTTTCACAAAGGCATTCAACTCCAAAACACACGCATCTAACGTAGTAACGGCCAAGGACACATCGGACGAATGCATGAAAACTTTACCACAGGCGGCACCGGACCCTCATATATGAGAACGGCGAGTAGACCGAGAGGGGGTAGATGGGGGAGATCGGTCATCAGCAAAGAAATGACTATCTAGCCCGAAGAACTTACCGAGTCCGAAAAAAAGACAGCAGAAGGCACGTTTTTTGATCGAGAAATGTGTCGATTCTATTGGGGGCTGATTATGTCCAGGACGACTTTACTGGTCTAGATGAGAATGTGTCGGGGAACTTTGTGGACTTCTCGACAAGTTACGCAGTATCTCAACCTCGATAATTGATACTCACGGCGACAATGTTGACGGAACTCGATTGAAGGCGTTATACCATCGACTTGAGGCACATATTCGGAGTGGTCAGAAAAATTCAACGCTCGGAAAATTTGTAGATGAAGCCCAAGCGGAAATTCAGAGGAAAAGGGAGGCCGTTGGAAAGGCCGGAGGTGAATTATTTGACAGAATGGTGGCAATAACAACTGAGGTGAATTACTTGATACAAAAACAACCGAGGAAGAACAAAGAATTAGGATTTAAAAACATAAAACACTGTCATTGGATGAAGCAAAACGATTTCTGCCGTCGGCTATAGAGGCAGCTATACCAGCGGTTCAGGTAGAAGGGTCGGGGCAGATTCTCATGGAAGGGCAGATATCAGCGGCTATGAGCGGTGATGACCAGACGATATAGACCTTGCGGATGAAATGTCGGTAATCAGTTTGACGGAGGAGAATCATTGACAGATACTTGAGGAACAAGAAAACCTCTGAGATAGAAGAATTTCAATAGAAAGCCCAGCAAAGTGAAAAAGAATTGTTAGGTTCCGGAAATTTTACATTGAAATTTAAACTCAAACAAACTTACTGCAGTAATTTGATCATTTTAGTATAGTTTTCTAGAATTAATTGAGGGGGAGTGTAAAAGAGACTGTATAACTGTTATGTAACTTATGTTAGAGGACATTATAGCGTATGCTATTAAACTTGTGATACCAAGGTCAACGTACTAGAGAGCGCTGTGGTAGCGTGTTGCCCGAGGCGAGCGTGACCGTATACAATTTATGTTGTTTCTCTTGAGTCTTTTCAATCTCTCACTTATGTAAGAGTACGTTAAGATTACTTCCACAGTTCTTAAATTTAAAAAGTAGTACTAGATTAGTATTTTCCGCGGTGCGTAATGCCTAACTTTCCATACGATGCAACATTGCGTTCTGAATTTTTTTCCAACATAATGAATTTGACATTAGAAGGATACACTTTAGTCAATCCTCACCTTACGCCTAAGCGAGTACAAACAGGTTAAATTCTTATCGGATTTGAATTGATAAAAGAAATATCGTTCAAATATTGTTGTGTTTTGCTGCTCAATTGCACTGTTTCGTCAAAATTTAAAGCTGATTTGTTCGCATTACGATTTAAATTTTAAGGTTCGTTATATTATCACAACCAAGACCACCTAAAGCAGATGCATTGGTGTAATCACTGAAGAGGTGGACTTCTGTTTCTTATAAATATGTAAGATGTCTAAGTATCGAGTGGTGATGGCGCACTCTTTCCCTGTGAAGAAATTTTCTTGGTTTCTTAAAAATATAAATTGAGTTAATGGTTCTTTAATTTAAAAAAATTGGCTCATATCCGATTGCCCTTTAATGATTTTGAATTACGTTTTTTTTTCAAAAATAGCAGGTTTTTGCAACGCTTTTTTATAAGCTTTTTTAGTATTTAGTTTTTTTAGTATTTAGTTTTTTTTAGCATTTATCTTGCGGATATCAGGTAAAAAGTGATTTTTATTGCATCAACATAACATTATATGAGCCAATCTTTTAGCCCAAAATAAGTTAGGAACAACTTATCAGTCTGGCTAAGTCGCCAATGAGTTCTATCAAATTTGTTCTTGTAATTCTAGGAAGTGCTAGATAATAATATGACGGGCCAGAACGAAAAAACTATATAGTTTAGCCTCAAACGCTCTATTTTGTGTTTTTCGCTGTTCTTCGTTTGTTTTTACGTTAAACTTTGAAATTTTGAAAAGTTTTTTCTTGCATAACAGTCTGAATCCCATAAAAAAAATTAAACGACGCCTTCGATTCGAAGACACCTACAGTTAAAAAGGAGCATTTTAAACCAGAACGAAGTAACAACAGACGCGGCTCGTGCAAACAAAAAATCCACAATCAAGCTAATGTTTTAAGCATAAACGGAAAACTGTCCCTAGATCCGTCCCTGACGAAAAACCCTAGAGTCGTTTACAGTATAAAGACTTCGGCTTTTCTTCCGTGATAGTCAAATTTTGAGATTCCGCTTACTCATTTTTGTTTATGAAGTAAAAAAAATTTTAGGGAAAAACCGGAAAAATGTATGATTCTTTTTTGTCAAATAATTTTATAAAATAAAATATTTAACCATTTTTTTCCAGGTAAGCTGATAAGTTCATTAGTAAACAAATATGGTAATATATGCAAACACAACACAACCGCTCAGATCACAATTTTAATTTAGTGAACGCGTTCCGATTCAGTAGATGACATTTTCTGGAAAGTTTGAATTTATCAGTACAAATTCACCTCAAACTTTGAACTTCCCGATAGACTTTGACCCTAATTGAATTGCGTATTCCAAAATCGCCTTTATACCTTGAAGGCTCGTTGCTAGTTTAAGCACAAATTATTCAACATCGTACCAATTACGTAACCAAAATGCCACTAACCTTGCAGTTAATGGTCTATATCACAGTGGTACGATAGATTGTTCTGGAATATTTGAATACGTAGATGGTCAAAGTTGGTTTTGTTCGACAGGTTTCTATTTGCGGTTGATCATTTCTTATTGACTTGATTCGATCGCTAGTCACTTGACTAACCACAAATCATTTCAGACTTGCTTTTATCTCAGAATCATTCAACTCAATAGTTCAGAAAAACTCGGTCAAATCTAGTCCGTAGAATTGCTTCAGTTTTAAAATTCAACTTTGAATAAGTTCGTAAAGTTAAGCTCAGGCAAGAATAATTTTTCGAAATGGTAGAGGCGGCAGCTGCTCCTGAAACCTCGAACGAATGGATTTTGCCCAAAAAAGTGGCTTCATATCCAGCTGTGAGCGCAACGTACAACACGGCATCGTACTACTACGAAGCGACCAAAGGATACAATAGCTGGACCGAATGGTCAGCAAATTATGCCGAAAAAGCCGCCGGAGCTGTGGCGCAACCTCTGTACAACGCGTCACTTCCAGTTCTGAACCGATTTGAGCCAAAGCTTCACGAAGCCGACAAGTATGCGGCTGGGAAGTTGGATCAGTTGGAAGAGAAAGCGCCACTGATCAACGAAGAACCAGCGGCTATCTATCGAGCTGCAAAAGACAAGACTGTTTCAACTATCAACCAATCTTACGTCGGTCAAGCGGTGAATTATGCCATCAAGCCGGTTCTAACAGTGGCCGAGAGATGGACTCCGGCGTCGCCGACCAAAGAGAAGCCGGAAGCTGAGACTGAAACTCCTCCCGAGAATTCAAATCAATCAACTCCTGAAGAGCACGTGACCTTGCAACAGACTGTGAAGAGAGCCTATCAGGTAGGAACGAAGTTGCAACAAAGGGCGCTGGAAAAGGCCATGGAAAATGTGATATCGCTGAGGAAGCGAAGCCAGGAGTCCTTGGATTCCTTGCGACATGCCGTTGACTTGATCCAGTATATGAAGACCTTGGAATCAGCAACAGGAGCTGACAAGGTGCGAGCATTCGTAAACGATATCCTGGAAGAGGACGAAGAGGATGTCGAAAAGGAACCGACAACTGATTCTACTAATGACATGAACCGAAAGACTCTGGTTGTCAGCCGAAAACTGACTCGCAAACTGAAAACCGGATACGAACTGACAATGACTCACGCTAAACCCTACCTGAACGAAGCACTATTCGCTAGACTGCAACATGGACAAACTTTGCTCGAGGGCATCCACAAGAGCTTCTCCGACGCTAAGAACCTGAAAGACGTTAGTGATGCCTGGATCGAAACTACAAAGAGCCACTTGGACTATCTCTCGCAATCTTTGAAAGACATTTCGCAAGAGACGATCAGTTGGTTGAGTTGGGGAAAGAGTCAAGATTCGGGGGCTCAAGAGGGTGACTCTCGAGAAGCTTCGGGTTCAGTGTCGTCTTACGCGCCATCGGAGTCCCTTGACGAAGACGTGGAGCCGAGACGAGAGGAATCGAGTCGCGAGGAATCGAGTCGCGAGGAATTAAATCGAGAAGAGGAAGAAGAAACCAAGAAGCTGACAGATGACGAAGAATACGAAGACGATTAAATGCAATCAAAAACTGGTTGAGAGAATCATTGGGTATTTGCAGTAATAATATATTAAGTAACCAACAGTGTCAATTCACGCATTTTAAAAAGTAATTTTGAACAAAACCTATCCAAAAAAAGTTAAAAGACTCGGTTCAATTTCTAATTAGACATTATCAAGTTGAACCAAATCAGGCTGTAAAAAACAGAAACAAAAAGCGAAACGAAAAATTAGCACGTTACTCCCACTGAAAAACTTGTCCAACTGATTTTTTTGAAACCAAAGGAATGGCTCAAAAAATATATAAAAACTTAAGACATTTAGTATTGAAAATTGAGCAAACTTAAACCAGATAATTTTTGAAATTGTGAGGATGAGCGAAGCCAGAGGTTCATTTATCTACATTTCTTAACTTCGCATTTTTTCGTTCGCTATTTTGGTGTAAATGAAACTATAGAGGCCTAGGAAATGCAAAATGCCGAATACTGTAAACAGCTCACCCATTCAATCGAAACGCATAAAGCCGCCATGATTATCGAAAAAAATGTACAAAAATAATTGCAGCTCATAGAACGTTTTTCTCGACACCCAAAACACACTGTCGCAAGATTTTTTAGGGGTTCGAATAACGACTGAATGGGTGCCAACATTAAAAATTGAAAACAACATCGAACCTGCGTGCAATGCGCGAAATTCTGCGCAATTGAAAAACAGACTGAAATCCTTAACTACAACAAACTAACTAAACGTTGAGCGATTGTTAAATTTTAATATAAACGCAATGGCGCACAGACAATTCGGTCAACGGCAATTCAGCCAATTTGAAATTCAGATAATTCAGCCTGAAATATACAGATAATTCAGCCTGAGACAATTCAGCCATATTCACAAAACGTTAGATTCGAAAGAAAAAAATCGGAATTAGGGTTATTTCTCGGTTTAAGGTCGCCGTTGGGCGCCATACGCGCGCGTCGCCACTTCGCGGTGATAACCGGCTCTAAGGTTCGCATAGAGTCCTACCCTCGGTAACTATTATTGGCTGAATTGTGTGCATACTTCTGGCTGAATTGTCTGAACTTCAAATCGGCTGAATTGTCTTTGGCTGAATTGTCTGCATAGTTTTGGCTGAATTGTCTGAACTTCAAATCGGCTGAATTGTCTGGCCGAATTGTCTGGACGCGAAACGCACTATTTGGTAGTAATCGAACCCCCCCAATGATCTATTTTCCCAAAAACTTTACAGAAGAATTTTAGGAAAAGTAATGTGGTATCATGATGAAGCCATTTCATCCGCGTCAGGAAAACAGTATTAAGGAAAATTGAGTTTTTTTACGACGCGGATGAAATGGCTGTATAATGCTACCACATTAGCTTCCCTTCAATTTTTCTGTAAATTATTCCGAAAAACGGACTTTTGAGGGGTCGGATAAATACCAAATAGTGCGTTGTTACACCTCAAAATAAGCAAATTTGTGTTCCCTATTGATAGCAAAGTTTCTGTTTTTGTTTAAATTTCCCCATGTATTAAATGTCTAATTGCTTCTTATTAGGCACTACAGGCTTGAAATTTTATACTTTGCACTTTGCGTTTGGAACGAAAATGTTCGAATAAAACCAACAGAATAATTTTTATTTAAGGAACAAAATTTAATCAGCACAACCGAAATAATCTAAACACAGAGCTTAAAGCAGAAAAACTATATCTTTTTTCGATACCTTGTTTTGTTTTTAGTTTTAATTTTTTTTGCTTAATTTTCTCGGGTAGCAGACGTAACTGAAAACAAAGTTCTCACAAATTAGTGCAATGTTAACATACTCAAAACAGATTCCAAAAAAAACGTGGCATGTTTTTCTCTCGGCTCATTGATTCACTTACACTGCTAGCCGGCTGCAAAAAAAAGATTCAACCCAAATTTCCTTAATACTGTTAAGTTTTTTTCTTTTCAGCCGGCTAGCAGTATAAGTGAATCGATCAGCTGAGAGAGAAAATTTCCACGTTTATTTTCGAATCGATTTTGTGTAAATGACTTTGTAGGGTAAAATTTTGATCAAAATTTTGCAAAAACTGTGCTAGATCATTCAAATTTCAAATAACTTTTGTTTTCAGCTTTTTGTGTCTAAACTCATTCAATTTGATAAAAAACACATATGAAACTTAATATTTCCTTGTTTTAGCCGGATTAATAGTGTAAAGAGCCAAAAAAAATTCCGAACTAGTTGGAATTCAAACTACGACTGAAACTTGCCTTAGATTATAGTTCATATAGTTCACTAGACCTCGTTAACGTTTTCTATGAGTCAGTTCAATTCAAGTGAGCAAATTTGACCTAAGTGAGCCTTCCTAAACTAGCCATGTGAAGGACTACCACTGTCAAAATGGATTAAGAAATATGCAGAAAATACTGAATTCTGATTGGCTGAAAAAGAATGCGTCTTATCAAGTGAACAATGTCCTTCTTAACCCGATTGAGAGACGAGATTGATCGCTTGGTCCCAATTTTGATTTCAACTTGCTGTCAAAAATTTTGCACTTTGAGATTTGTAAACTATCTATGAAAGACTATCTAAGCTTAGTCCGTTTATCTTATTTCCACACCGTAAAGTAGACCTATTATAATTACAATGATGAGCAATTATGTTACCATTTTTTTGTTATTTTATGCCAGTCATAAAGGTCACAATTGTTGTTATTGAGAACTGTAAGAACTGTGAGAACTGCACGACCAAAAAACTGAATTTAAGTTGATTCATTTATTTTTTATTTATGTTATTTTCAAATGGCGCAGTCCATTCAAGCTATTGCTGCCTACAGCCTATACGTTTTTTTTGGAACGGCTCATTTAAGGAACCACAACTTACATAGAAAGATTAGTCTCAAGTGGTGATAGCAAAAAAGAGATATCGTCAATCTATTGAAAGAAAATGTCCTGCCAGACGAAAAAGGTGCAATGCAGGATGATGCATTCGGGACAAAAAACCCTGCGAAGGATACTAAAAAATGAGCGAGGAACAACGCGGCGATAAAAACATGGAGAGAAGAGCAAACACGACGATCGTTTAAAGAGAAGAGGCCAGTCAAAAGGAGTACACATGAGAAGCATTTCCAATTGTCTGTCAGCTATCTTCAGAGTTTTTTTTCAATACGAGCGCTTCATGTGAAATTCAGTTTAATCTTTGTTAGAAATTATTTACTAGTTTGAAAAATTTTACACTTGCGAGAGCAAGTGTCTTGTAACCGGGAACTAGACTTTTTCCCTATAAAACAACTTTTCTTACAAATTTAGCTTGCTTTTCTTTCTTGCTCCATTATTGAACCTTAACAACTTGCAGGATTGTTCCAACTTGGCATAGAGGTAAATTGATTGCCTCTGCACCCTTAGTCCTAGGGTTCGAGTCACAGCCGGACCTTGTTTTTTCAGTATGAATGAAATTGAAAATGTTTTCTGGTTAAAGTTGAATGGTCAGATTTTTGCTTGTTGCTCAAGTTTTTTCGGCTTAGTTACTGCATCACGGATTTTCTGTGCTTTCATCAATTTTCAATAGTCAAGACTCTCATATAGGTCTTCGTGGTTTGTTGTGTTGTTTATCTTTTTTTCAGATAGAGTACTTAAAATTTTGTTCAATTTTGATATTTTGCTGTTTGAAATGTGTTTTTGTTTTAAGTTCAGTGCATTATCATTGCAAGAAGGAAGGCAAACTCACTTTTTGATCAGCAAAAGTGTGAAGATCACAAAAAATGTGATCGACTTCTATTTTTGGAAGTAGAATTTCATTATCAGATTTCCCAGCGAGGTAAATTATTTACCTATAAATCTTGTGTTTTCAAATTGGGTTATTTTAATGGAAAAATTGTCAATTAAAAATTGTTCTAAAACACCAAAGAGAATTAAGACCATATATTTTTTTCTTCAAATCAAAGGTTGAGATTTTTAAAAAAAACAAGCCTCTCTGTAATTAATATGATAAACAGTGAAATCCGAAAGCAGCTGTGCATGGAAAAATTTGGTCAGTCAGATGCCCTTGAAATTGCAGTCCTAAGAGGATCAGGCGAGGTTATGCACAGAAAGGTTTGCGGAAGTGTTCAAAAAATCGGAAGGAGAAAACTCTCTTTAGGGCAACCGACGCAAGTCGGACACAGGGCACATGATACAGTTCTGATTTAAATTAACCGGACAAAATAAACAACACTCGAATGTTCAAACACATTATTCTCAAATTGGGTTAAGATTCGACAAAAAATGAAAAGAACAAAAATGCTTGGAATTTCATCAGAATTACTATGGTGCAATTTTTTCTCCAAAACTCTCAACCAAAATTTTACCCCAAAATGGGTCATTTTGGCTTTTTTCAACTAAGCAAAAATTACGCTGAAACTACTTTGTTAATTGATGAGACATTTATATCGCAAGAAGCCTCCTGTACACTTCAAAAAAATTGTAGAAGGTTGAATCTCCAAAAAATTGAGTAATTTCTTTAAAATTTGTTTTTAAGCAAAGATTTTGGGTTTATATAGTTAAAATCTCGTTTCTTGACTATCACGCGAAAATATTGTCTCTTATACAGGTTTTTGGAGATTTAAATCTTCTAAAACTTTGTTGGACTGTGTACGAGGCTTCTTGCGATATAAACTTCTCATCAATTAACAAAGTAGTTTCAGCGTAATTTTTGATTAGTTGAAAAAAGCCAAAATGACCCATTTTTGGTGTAAAATTTTGAATACGAATTTTGGAGGAAAATGCACCATATTAATTCTGGTGAAATTCTAAGCAACTTAAGTTCACTTCACTTTTTGTCTAATCTAACCCAGTGTGAGAAAAACGCGTTAGAAATTTCAAAATTTATTCGTTTTGTCCGGTTAATTTAAATCGGCACTGTACTTGAAGGGAAAATCGGTGAACGGACAAACAAGGACAAATACTTGAAAAATATGACATTTGCTGTAATCTCCTTAAGTTGAACCGCAGAAATAACTGCCCAGCAAGGAGAAAGTCATTTGCAACAATTGCAGCTCTTGAGGTTATTTCGTTAAAGATTGTAAGAAGTGTGGGATGCACCAGGTGGAGGTAACGTACAACTTCTCACAGTCTGAGACAAACGTTAGCAGAAAATGATT